TTTCTCGCCGTCCACGTGTCAGTCATCCAACGCTAAAGCAGATTTTTAGGTCAACAATTGTATATCTTTAAAACTAAGAAGTGTTCTTTGTGATTCAAGGTACAAAAGCGCATCGTTAATTATTAATCCGGTACCCTTAGGAAGAGTAAGTAAAGCTCTGTCGGAGCCTACTATCAAGATTTTATCATGAGCAATTGTAGAAACACTTCCTTTCTTTTCATTGAAAGTTTGAAAAAATTTCATATCTTTCAAGATAGTATGCGTAGTAGCACTGTCGACCAGACATAAAATGCCCTCTATCTCCATTACATGCAAACTAATGAACTGTTGTGGTACACTAAAAGTAAAGTAAAACATTGTAAGCAAACGAAACAATCATGAAATTCCAATCAAATCATAACATATGAAAACATACCAATAGCAAAAATAAACCACAAATGTCTGACGAAACAAAAAAAATCAGAACTGTCTAATAGCATGAAACAAACCATGAAATAAATGCATATAATCACACATCATCACCATAGTCCTCGAGCTCGAGCTTCAATAAATCATCATCATCATCATTGATGGCTAAATTTGCTTCAGGCAAACTAGCATGATGTGATTCACCTTGAGGAGCCTTTCTTTTCTTATCCTTGAGCATTCTTTGATAGGCCTCAACTAGATGCCAAGGAGGACGACATGTGCGGGACCAATGGCCACTGCATCCACACCTGTAGCAAACTTGCTTATCTTGATTAGCTTGTGGAGCGTCAATGTTAAGATTTTCTGTACGACCTGTCGGTTCCTCAACACCATGACCTCGTCCTCCACCTCGAGTCCAGTCATTACTACGACCGCGATCGCGACCACGACCACAACTGCGGCCATGGTCACGACCACCACGGGGTGGCTGGGTATGATATCCTTGACCTCTCCCTCGCACATTATGTGCCCGTGAGTAGTCGCATGTGTTTCAGGCACAGCTTGAGTTCCAACCGGCCTAGCATTATGATTTCTCATCAACAATTGATTGTGTTTTTCGGCCACAAGGAAGGCAGATATCAACTCAGAGTGAGTTGCATAGTTTTTGGCCCTATACTGCTGCTGGAGTACAAGGTTACTAGCATGAAAAGTTGACAAAGTTTTCTCAAGCAACTCGGCCTCAGTAATGTTCTGCTTACAGAGTTTCAGCTATGAAACAATGGGATGTAGGGCCGAATTATACTCAGTGATGGATTTAAAATCCTGAAATCGAATATGAAGCCAGTCATATTGAGCTTGAGGGAGAATTATGGCCGTTTGTTGGTCATAGCGATCCTTCAGGGATTTTCAAAGATTGACGGGATCTTTTTCAGTGAGATATTCATTTTTCAAATCTTTATTGAGATGGTGACGAAGAAAAATCAATGCCCTCGCCTTCTGGGCGGGGGTGCTTTGAGATGTAGAATCAGTTGTGGCACTTAAGTT